GAATGCCTCTGCTGTAGGGTTAGTCATTACATTAGATGCCAAGAATAAAAAGATAAAAGACACAGCTTTTTTTTTTAAAGGAGCTTATAATCTACAAGAGGAGACATTCACCTAAATAAATAAATTACAAACAAACCACAATGTAGGACCATAAATGCTGTGATAGAAGGAAACATAGGGTGCCAACTAAAGCACTGAGAAGGGGGTAAGGAGAGAGATTAGGAGAGGACTCACAGAGGCCCTGCAGGAAGATTTCTTAGGTAAATGAAGATGATTGAACTGGATCATAAAAAAATGAAAGGGGATGGCAGGTGAAGATAAGAGGAAAAGGAGACATTCGAAACAAAGAGAATCACGTGTGTGAATGGTAAAGGCATGAAAATTCCATGAGGATGGCGCAAATCACTTGGAATGGCTGAAGCAAGCACAAAGTGACAACAGATGGAGCTAAAGAAGTATATTCAGGGATCACATGTGAAACTAAAAGCAACTGTAAATGATTTGTACCTTATTCTCAAGATATGAGGAGCCATTGCATAATTTTGAGGGAACAGGCAAAATACATGTCCGTATTTTAGAAGGGCCACTTTGACAGCAGTGGGGAGGATGAATTTGATGGTGGCTAGACTGGAGGTATAAAGATCAGTTAGGAGGCCGCTGGAGTAGTTTAGTTAAGAAAAAAAAAAAACCAAAAACTGTTCAGGGCCATAAGTTAGGAGAGAGCAATGGCAGTAGACTGTGGAGTAGACCATTTTAGTAGAGAGGCTTGAGCTGGAGCTATGGATTTGGGAACCAACAACATTTTAAGCGGTAGCTGAGCTATGGCAGATATGATCTGGCAGGGAGAAAGGACAGTAAGAAGAGAAGAAACCAGGAGCAAGCTTTGTGCAACTCTGGTGTTCAGAAGCAGGAAAGGTGGATAAACTCTTAAAGGAGACAGAGGAGGGATCATGAGAAAGAGGGAAGAGAAGCCACGAGAGGGGGTGTCAGCTTCAAAAAAAGAGTGGTCTACAGCATCAGGAATGAGTACGCATTACATTGGGCAATCAGGTCTCTGGTCGACCTGTACCATAATTACTCAATAGAATAGTGGCGTGGAAGCCACATTTCAGAGAGTTACGAGTTAACTGGAGATAAGAAAATAAAGACAGCAAGTGTAAACTACTTTTCTCCCAAAAAGGTTTCACATGAAGAAAAGGAGAAGAATAAGGTAGTAGATAGGTTTTTGTTGTTGTTGTTACTGCTTTTAAGTTAGGAGATTTTTTTTTAATGTGATGGAGAAAGTGACGATTTAAGAAATAGAAGAATCTAAAGAATAAGTTCCTTAAGAAGGTGAGAGTACAGATAGGAGCCTAGCCCCAGTCAGGGAAACCACCTCAACAGGGACAGAGGGAAGGAGGAGCAGGGTTGGGGATATCAGTAAGATTGGGAAATTATTGTTCCCATTTATGGCCCCTATTTTCTCTGTGAAATCATTACTTAAAATAAGAATGAAATTGATAAGCAGAGAGTAGTTATAGGGAGAACAAAAGAGAGAGAACTGGAAGGGTAAGAGCTTGTGACAGAATATTAGGCATAGGGAAGGACTGTTCCCTCACTTTCTCCTCCACAGCACCCTTCACACCTCACTGATAAAGTAGGAACTTTCTTCAACACTTCTGCCCTCTTGGGGAAGTCCTATGGAAGAAAATTCTATTATTTTTCCCAGCTCACAGAAAAAAGGGGGGCAGGGAAGATATGTTGACTGGTAAGATGGTGAGAACCTGATATGCATCAGTCCTCAGCTCTCTGTTGGGTAGGGTGGGCAGATAAAGTTACTGCTCACATGTGACTCTCTGACTTTTACTGGTTTACATTCACGCAGATGTAAGGCAAGCCAAAATACTCTGTATTTCTTATGGGTGCACATCTAACTCTCTCCACCACTGTGGGCTTTAAGGTTTACTGCTGGAAGAGGAAGTAACAGGAGGCTCCCACTTGAGCAGCAAGTCCCAGACACATTTTCCAATCTAGATTTATCAGCAGCAAACTGGATACTAAATTTCAATCCTCCTCTAAGCTTTTCTCCTGATTTTCTAACTTAAAACCTAAAGAAGTTAGGAGGGGTAATCAGAATTCTGAAAACCTTAGATATACAGTTTGAAATTTCTGAAGGATCTCCTGGTAGAACATTCGTCAATGATGATAAGGACCACAAGAGGTCATGGAAGTATCATACCAGTGTGGAATGAATGGAGAGACACTGGAGTCAAAGATCTCAAAAAACAGTAGCTACTGGATGTTGGACACATGGATCTCTACTGAAATCATCCAAGTTGAAGGTGAATTTAGGATGAAGAGGAAAAATGTAAGTGAGGTTCTAAATATCCTGACAAATGCAAGGGAGTGACTAGGATGTGATGGTGACAGTGAATAGAAGGGAAAAGCAGAGCTGGTACCATTGGGGCCTTTACTGAAGAATTTTACAGGATGTTGAAGGCATAATGTTTGGAAGCCACAGAAGGAGAAGTGGGCAGATGTCAAGCTTGATGCAGGCCCTTAGATTCTTCAGGTTTGAGCCAGTAAGTATTCTTCAGTGAAGACTGAAGCAGCATAAGCAATAATCTCAGGGAGAAAGCAAGGTTTTATTTGAGACAAAATATACAGTGTTTTCAGAAGACAGTACAAATATACAACTACATTGATCTAGAGAGTATAATGGAAAGGGAGGTTCAAAGGGTGGACAGCAAAAGAATAGAAGCCAAAAAAGTGTCCAGGAACAAGCTGTCTCTTCCCATGCCATCAGGACTGACTGTTGGTTTTCCTGCAAGTTGAATATAATGGGAAATGATAAAAAAAAAAAAATGATTCATACATACCATAAACACTCTATATAACTTAAAACATAAATGTACACACATGTGCCAATCTTCTGATGTAAGGCCAAGGCCTGTTCTCTGCATATGGATCTGTTGATTGGAGTTATGCGTCTTCTGTCTTACATAAACCACATCCTTCATCTATGATTTCCACTTTGACTTTCTTTAAAGCGGAGGGAGAACCTGAAGACACTTGTGAAATAATCTGAATGCAGAGCCCATCTAGATTTTTATAACTCTCCCCACCTTCTTTCAGCATTGTCCTGCCTACACCTCCCGTCAACAGAAAAGCTTTTATAGCTAATGTTTATCAAGTCTTTCCAAAGCTGTGTTTATGGAAACAAAACTCAAAGTCTTTTCTGTGTTTGATCAGTTCATTTGCTCTTCATTTCAATGACATGATTAAAATAAGAAATACAACTGGCTAAATAGGCTTGAGGACAAGGACAACACAATAGGCTCTTGGGAAAAAGATAGCTTTCCTGGTGGGAACAGAAGCACATGGGCAATCTCAAGGGAAGCTTTTGGCTGGAAACATCTATGTGCTGAGGGTGGTGACCATGTGGTTAACAGAGAAGGCAGCATCAGCTAATTCAGCATCACTTCCAAGGTGGCCAATGAGGAGAACTTTAACTATACAGGTGGAAAGAGTGACCGCACACTGAGGTACAGGCAAGGACAAATAGGAATGTGAAGTATTATCAATGGGCTTCAAGTTTTCAAATGGAGAGCTGGTGTAGAGATTGCGGTTTTTTTCTTCTCCACGTGCATCCTCTTCCCTTTCCTCAGTCCCTTAACTCTTATGGCTTTTCTCATTTGGGAGGAAAGAAACTAGGACATTAAGGAATAAGGTAGAAGAATAATAAGAGGTCTAGAGAAAATGTCTGAAGCTCCAGGGCCACTTCTGGGCCCCAAGCTATTCCCCCCTTATCTCCTTTTCTTTTAGCATTGGCATCTAGGGATTTAGCTGGCTCTCCTCTTTCACTACTTAGCATCTTTCTTCATCTGAATTTTTCTGCCAGCTAACTGGAAACCAAATTCATATTCATCTACATTATCTGTCTCTCTTCCCACTGGTTCTTCAGGGAGGTTACTCATAGTAACCATATAGAAAGGGAAGGGTAACAAAACCTACAAAACCAGAACAATCTATACTTTCAAGAAATAAGTACCAGTGTTGAATGCCATGGGGTTAGGCCTGCCCTACCCTAAACATCATCACTAACTCCCTTCTTACAGTTTCTAACACAGGGTATCCCTTTCATGCCCCCATAGAATGGATGGAATCCAGCACAATTCCTCTATGTTCCTCAGTGAGGAGTCCCCCACAGGGGAAATCTCTCTCCCACTACTCTACATCATAGATTCAACAAATACCACAAAGTAGAGAGTACTGGGTGCTACTAAAATGGCCATTTATAGACTTGCAACCAGTTCCTGAGCACTTGCTATGGTTAATCAATGTGTTAAGTGCCCCATGGGTTTGAGGCATCATCATGCTTAATTCTCACGGAGGTAGTATTGTTATTATTATCATCTTCTTTTCACAGAGAAATTTAAAAGACTATAAGGGATTAAGTATGATACTCAAGGTCACACAGAAAGTAAGTAGCAGAGCCAGGATTTGAATCTAGGTAACTGGACCTCAGAGCCTGGGGTCTTTATTACTACACTAACTGCTGCTTCCCAAAATGGGACCACATTTGAACCTGGGTTCAAATGGAACTCATTTAAAATTTAGAGTAATTTTTGTTACTGATATACACAATGTCAAATATTCCCTCCCCCTGACAATTATCCCCATCCATACACCATAAGAAAAATTAGTTGAGGGCATTCACCTAATTGTTCTAAAGTGATATTTACCTGCTTAAGACAATAAGGAAAAAAAATAGCTGATTAAAATATACTCTTTCTGGTTTAAGCAACCCTATTTGGCACTGAGTGATAGAAGACAATATCCCTGCCCATCTACCACGAAAGCAACTCCCACTCAATACTTTTCACAATCCTTCCCCTGGGGCAAACATACTACCTTTTACAACAAAGTGAGGGGTCAGGGAAAGAGAGGCATGTGGCAGGGTAGGAAAGATGGGTAAACCAAAAAGTTAATTGTTGGAAAGTTAAATAATTCAAACTTACTTTTTTGGTACACTTCTTGACAGTGTTGATTAATTCTTGTATGACCAGATCTACACTCTTCAAGGAAGGTCCTTTCAGCTTTACTATTTGCTTTTTGACTATCGCTTCAAATGCCATGTCTGGAGTAAACAACCCTGTCCTGAATATAAGAAAGAAAGCAGGACATAAGATTTTTTTTAATTAAGTATTATCCAATACTTTTTTGAAAAAGGTTTTAATTGACATGCCACCTAAAGCAAGCATGTAATACCCAAGTTTAAAAGTTACATAGTGACTTATTCTATCAACAGTATCATTTTTTATTACAAATGTACAAATTATGATATCTTCACTACTACTATTTCATAATGAATTTCATTCTATAGATGATTAGCATTACCTAAAAACAGTTCCCAAAATGTTTTCATGGACTGGAATAATATGACCTGTAACTAATGTTTAACTGTAATTCATCTTATCTCACGTCACAGCAATAAACAGCAATGCTACAATAAAAATGATGTCCTAAATTTCCATTTCTCTGTCTAAAGTATTCAGTGGTTCCCAGGTGCTAGAGGAAAAGGAAGGTCCTGGGGTGCTAGAGGAAAAGGAAGACAAGTAAGTGGGACTAGCCTGGGACCCAGGATGCCTAAATTGTGAGTTTACAAAAATAACAAATGATAACCAAAATAGCAGGTATCTTTTCACTTGGCTAGAATTAATTCAAATTGGTGTCATAACAATGCTTTTCTCATGCTGGGCAGGAGCTCAGGAAAGCAGGTGTGTGTGTGTGTGTGTCTCTGTGTGTGTGTGTCTGTGTGTGTTTATGTGATAAAAAGTGAAAAAATGATTACATCTAAATAAAAGGCCAGTGGAAAAAAGCTACCATAAGAGGGACCATGAACCCCAAGTATCATCACACCCAAAGCCCTGCAGGTGCCAGATGCTGGTGTTTCACCCTCCCCATCCCCAGGCCCTTCTCCCTCCCTCTTCTCACTTCTCCTTCTTTGATTAACTTCTCCACCCAATTCTGCGGTGCTTCTCTTGGGAAATTTCTTCCACAGTTCCCTTACAGCAGCTTTATTCTGGTCCCTTCTAATCATTTACTTTAGCACCCTATGCCCACCTCTCTTTCTAACTGTAGTGATCATACTATATTATAACTTGAAGTTTCTCCACATTGGATGCAGAATAAAATCCACACTATTTGGTCTAACATTAAAAATTTCCCTGCCTGACCCTAATCTTCCGTTCCAGTTATTTGCCTCCTCCCTTTCATGCACCCTGTGTTTCAGCCAAACCCAACCATTGGCCTTTCCACAAACACACTCATACTAACGTTTTCTGTCTTTGCCTCTGTCCATGAGGTTCACTTTGCCCTCCCCACACTTTCAGCCTGTCCAAGTCCCACCTGCGCTTCAAAGCCCAGATCAAAAGCAACCACTTCCTCCAGCTTGCCTTCTCCAGTCCTGCCCCTGACAAGGTCTTCCTTCTCTGAACCCCAACATCCTATTTTGCATTGCAGTGGTCTCAGCATGCATAGTCCCACTACTACCCTGGTAGAAAGGTCATGACTGCATTTATCTTTGTTTGCCCCACAAGGACTGTCTTCCTCCCTTGCTCCTCATTGCCACACAGTGCCTGCCAAACAAAGAAGGACCATTAGGTCTGCAGTGGACAAAGACGGCTTCTATTATTCAAATATCTAACAATCAATTGGAAACAAAACTTTTCATATTAAGTGTATTTAAGAGCCTAATAATGCCATGAGTATGTCTTATTCTCAGGACACTGTGCCCTTCTTATCATCTTACAGGCAAATTAATTCCAGAATAATAAATAACAACCAATCTCTTCTTTTGGTATGCATGTAAATCAGAAATCTTCAAAACTGAATTAGTGAGCTCTTGCAGTTGCATTCGGCAAAAATGTATCTGATAAGAAGTTTTAAAAGCCAAGTAAAAATACTGTATTTTACTTTTACAGTAAAGTAAGTACATATAAAAATACTTTATGACCCAAAAAATGTGATTTGGTTTCACTGCACTTATCAGATTGACATGGTTGAATACTAGTCCCACCCAGCTCAAGAGCAAGACACAGTTTCTATACCAAATGTATCCTAGATTTGAGGGCAACAGAATAGAATTAATAAGGAACTTAGAAATCCTACTGACAGAGAAAAATACTGGATTTGGTTATAGAATGTTTCCTCCCTTTTACTTTGTGAATGCATATTTACCTATCGTGTTTGCAACTTGCAGAGCAGATTGTCTGAATGTTAAAATGATAGCGAATTCAAATGTCCTAACTCCTTTCACATATACATTCACTGTCAAGCTTTGCCCTCTCAGGCTCTGCTCCCAAAAGAGTCTCATCTTGACCTGTGGCAGAAGCTGTGACACAGTGACCAATAGACAGGGGACACCACCTCCTTTATATGAGATCATCTATGAAGTACACAACCTAAGTTCAATACCTTAAATTCAGGAAATTTAATATATGCTCCATTAAATTCTGTACATAAACTCAAGAAACGTGTGTTTTAAATTCATTTTTTCTTTTTTTTAATTCATTTTTTTCTTATCATAGTGCTTTAAAGAAAGTAAATTAAAATAATCCCATTTTATACAAGGGAAAATTCCACACAAACTTCCATACAAGGGACAAGCTCCCCTCAAAGCCTCATGTCCCACTGCTCTCCTGTCCAGTCAAAATGCGTGACTCCCCGCTCCATGAATCCCTGCTGCACTTCACCACCCCTATGCCTTTGCTCACACTACTCTTTCCACTTTAAGCCCTTTCTCTTATCTTCTTGCCTCAACAATTCCCAGCCTCTCATGTTTCATGCACACACACACACACACACGCACATGTAAACACACAGCACACCATTGCCTGTTGAAATCATTCTTGTTCTCTATACAGGCAAGGTTCAACTCAAGAGTCATGACCTTCATTAATCTCTCCCAATCTTCCCCCAAAACTGAGGCCGAAATTTATCTGTCCTGTCTCTGTGTAAGTAATGATTCCTTATGAGCATGTCAGGCCTCTGTCCCTAAAATGCAAGGCTCTGGAGAACAAGGTCTTACTCACTGGCAAATCCCTAATTGTGCAGAGCACAGTGCTGTGAGTGCAGAAAGTGTTTCTGCTTTTTTTAATTGAAAAGTCTTTTCTTTAAAATGAACTATTGGGACTTCATCAAGATAAAAAGCTTTTGCACAGTAAAAGAAACAGTCAACAAAACCAAAAGACAACCGACAGAATGGGAGAAGATATCTGCAAATGACATATCAGATAAAGGGCTAGTATCCAAAATCTATAAAGAACTTATCAAACTCAACACGCAAAGAACAAAGAATCCAATCAAGAAATGGGCAGAAGACATGAACAGACATTTTTCCAAAGCAGACATCCAAATGGCCAACAGACACATGAAAAAGTGCTCAACATCGCTCAGCATCAGGGAAATCCAAATCAAAACTTCAATGAGATACCACCTCACACCAGTCAGAATGGCTAAAATTAACAAGTCAGGAAAGGACTTGACTTGTTGGCGGGGATGCGGAGAAAGGGGAACCCTCCTACACTGTTGGTGGGAATGCAAGCTGCTGCAACCACTCTGGAAAACAGTATGGAGGTTCCTCAAAAAGTTGAAAATAGAGCTACCATACGATCCAGCAATTGCACTACTGGGTATTTACCCAAAGATACAAAAGTAGGGATCCGAAGGGGTACGTGCACCCCAACGTTTATAGCAGCAATGTCCACAATAGCCAAACTGTGGAAAGAGCCAAGATGTCCATCGACAGATGAATGGATAAAGAAGATGTGGTATATATATATACAATGGAATATTATGCAGCCATCAAAAGGAATGAGACCTTGCCATTTGCAACGACGTGGATGGAACTGGAGGGTGTTATGCTGAGTGAAATAAGTCAATCAGAGAAACACATGTATCATATGACCTCACTGATATGAGGAATTCTTAATCTCAGGAAACAAACTGAGGATTGCTGGAGTGGTGGGGGGTGGGAGGCATGGGGTGGCTGGGTGATAGACATTGGGGAGGGTATGTGCTATGGTGAGCGCTGCGAATTGTGCAAGACTGTTGAATCTCAGATCTGTATCTCTGAAACAAATAATGTAATATATGTTAAGAAAAAAAAGAAGAAGAAGAAGATAGCAGGAGGGGAAGAATGAAGGGGGAAATCGGAGCGGGAGACGAACCATGAGAGACGATGGACTCTGAAAAACAAACTGAGGGTTCTAGAGGGGAGAGGGTGGGAGGATGGGTTAGCCTGGTGATGGGTATTAAAGAGGGCACGTTCTGCATGGAGCACTGGGTGTTATATGCAAACAGTGAATCATGGAACACTACATCTAAAACTAATGATGTAATGTATGGTGATTAACATAACAATAAAAAATTTTTTTAAAAAGTCTTTTCTTTTGTGAGTGTGACAATACAGGAAATTACCATTAAACTCAAGTGAGAGTCTCCTATTTCTTACTCTCACCTCTGTATTCTATTTTGCTACAATGATGAAAAGTCTACTTCACTAGCCATTTACAAACATTAATTTTCTTTTAGTAGCTTGAACTGAGACAAGGAAAATGTGAATCACTTGCCTGATACCATGTATGTTTTTGATTGCATAGCTTATTTCTCTTCGCAATTCCTTTTCATTGAACTCCATCTGCAGATGCAAAATGACCCACAGTTATGACACTTAATTCCTCTGAATAATAATATTGTTGAATATTAAAAAATGAGAAGAACTTGACTTCGTTAGTAATAAATGGATACTCATGTCTTTCCTAACTTAAACCCAGATGGTCAAAACATCTGCTTATATAAAGTTCAAGGCAACATAGAACATTGGGGATTTCTGGGAGTTTTAGTGTAGTGGATTTTAATTCTATTATAGATAGGAGCGCTATGCATAAAGGATGCCTTCTGGACATAAATCTGGCCATTCATATGAAATATACAATTCTTCATTCTTTTGCTGAATGTAATAACTGTATTCACAGACAAATGCATAAATAAGAGTGTCACCTGACATGCAACAGCAGTCCAGCTGTGCTGAGATTAACAATGGCTGTCTTTTCTCCCTGGCCATTTTAATCACCTGCATTCAAGGCCTCTTTACAAGAGGAAATTAATAATATTTTTTTACCAATCCAATGTAGGATAGATGGCTGCAAAAAAATTTCCCAGAAGTTCTAGGTACTTTAAATTTATTTGGAATTAGGATCAAAGTGTCATGGAGCTTAGACTTAAAAGGGATATCAAGAGCACATTTGGTTCAGCCCCTGACTTCTGAGATTTGGCCTCTCCAGCTTCACTGTCTATCCATTTTCCCCCCTCACACTTTATACCATAGAACAATGAATTGCTTTAGTTTCCTACCCACACCCTGTGGCCCAGAGCTCAGCCTTTACTGTTCCTCCTTCTCTATCTGGAACAACCCCAGCCCCTAACCCCCTCCTGCTTGACTAGCTGCTCATCCTTCCAAACTCAGCTCAGAAGCCAGGCTCCCTCAAGGACTCAGTCTGGGATTCGGGTCTGTAGGCTGTTTCCATAGCACCCTGTGCTGAAGTTTATCACTTTACTTAGCACATTTTAATGAAACCATCTATTTACCCATTTTCCTCCCACACCAAGACATAAGCACCCTCCTCTGTATGTGAAACAAATATCAGAGTCCCTAATACTACTTAGCCGCCTAATGGGCAAGCCAACCTAAGCAGAGCCAAAATAAAACTCTCTCAGTTCATACCTCTACACAAACTCACCTTTTGCTCAGTTTCCCTCATCTGATGGCCACTAACATTTGCTGTTGTGCAAGCCAAAGCCTTAGGAATCATCTTGAATCTCCTTTCTTGCATCCCCCATATCAACTCAAGCCCTACTGACCCTACCTCCAAAATCACAAATCCATCCACTTTCTCCATCCTCTCTTCTGGGGCATTTTTAATGTGAAGCTAAAGATTAAGGTTCAGGGCTTCTCTCTTACATAAGCACCTTCCAAGACCCTGTGCCTAACTGTGTGTTTATAATTTTGTATTCTTCTTCTTTAAGGCTGCCCACCCCCCAATTGTATAAACTTTAGGCCCCACAGAAAGTGGATTCACTCCTGCTCTGGCCATACTGTTTAACTCACCTTACTTGTCTCCCTGAATCAACTCTTGCCCCTTTAAGATCCAACCCTCTCCCCTTCATCAGCTCTGCACCAGCCTCATCTATTCTTTACCCACTGTACAGACACTTGCTGTAGAGCCTTGTCCTCAGCTGCTTACCTTGAATGACCCTCTTCCCCAAGATCCTTACAGCTGACCTCTTCATGCCATTCTGGTCATGCTTTCAATGTCCCCTACTCAGAAGGACCTTGCCTGGAACATCCCATCAAAAGTGGCTCACTCGGGGCACCTAGGTGGAGCAGTCAGTTAAGCTTCTGACCCTTGGTTTCGGCTCAGGTCATGATCTCAGGGTCCTGGGATCAAGCCCTGCATCAGGCTCTGCACTCAGAAGGGAGTCTACTTGAGATTCTCTCTCTCCCTCTCCCTCTGCCCCTCCTGCTCATGCTGTCTGTCTCTCTCTCTCTCTCAAACAAATAAATCTTTAAAAAAAAAAGTGGCTCAGTCAACCCCTTTCTCTAACATTATGTTACATAATAACATTTTATGTTTTCTTACTTTGTCTATTTGTAAAATTCTCTGTCTTTCCCCACCAGACAGTGCCTCTTTCTTGATCACTGGCACCTAGAATTTTGGCACAGAATAGGTGCTCAAGAAATATTTTTAAATTAATTAGACAACAAATAAACTTCATAGGAACTCAGTATTTGTTGAAATAATTTGAAATGTTGTTAGATCCCATTTAATAAATAAGATCAGAACCATCAGTAAGAAAATACTTCTAAATTTCATCACCTGAGTATGAAGATTTTTGTTCAAAGATCTATCTCAGTCCTATACCACTCCCATAACATTTTATGAACAGTTATATAGAAAGAACATGGAAATGAAATGAAGTGAAGAAAAAAAATAACATTTGGTACAAACCTTTACTATCTCAAAAGGAAAGCGTTCGTGGAATATACGATTGATTTTAGCCCCTCCTGAGAGCTCCAGGGTATCTACTTGATCCCCTGACCCTTCAATTCTCTTCTCGAAGTCCACAGCAAACTGCTGAACCATCCTATAATTGTGAAAGAGAAGTAAATTCAAGTTATAGTTACAAGGCTTTGCATTTCTCATTTTAATTTACTATGTGAACCCTTAGAATCCTTTTCCTAGTGTTCTTAGTGGCACCTACTGGCAGAATGAACACTGCACTCTATTCAGCACTCAAAAATGTAATTATATCACATACATGTTATTAAGATTTATTTTAGGCAGTTAATTAAAATACATATCATAAATATCTGTGTCATTAGATGCATTCTGTCCATTTAGTTGAAACCATAAAGTGGTATTTAAAAATACTTAAATTAGGAATTAAAGTTAAACAGTAAAACTTTACATAGAAGAGTAAATGCCCCTTGGTTCCTAAGACATCACATTCGCCTAGTGTTCTCTAACTGCTCCAGGTGAGTTCCCTCTTACTCTGTGAGCTCCTCTCCTCCCCGCCCCCAGCATCACAGACAATGCAAACTGGTGACCCGCATCCCCCTCTACAACTAGCTCTAGCGTTGTTTTTCAATGATCCCCCACAATTGGATAATAAAATTAAAACTCCTTAACCCATCATGCAAGATTCTCCATGGTCTGGCCCTGGATGCTCCATCTCTCACTACTTGTCCACACACCTTCTAAGCCAACCAGAAAGAAGCTATCCCCAGTTCACTACATGCACCATGCCTCTGCCCCTTGCTTCCTTGCCTGGCTAATTTTTATCTGTCCTTCAAGACTCAGTTCAAGCAACAGTTTTTCCAGGAAACTTTCCACGGTCCTATCTGCCACACTCATTGCTCCTTGTTCCTTCAGCTTATTTTCCTTGTTCCTTCAGCTTATTTTCAGCACAGCATTTAGCAGAGTCCATCACTCTTGTTCACCTGTCAGTCTCTCTCCTAAGGGCAAGGACCACACATTTTATTTATCTCCCACTGCCCAATACATGAAAGGTACTCAATAAATTCAATGAAGGAATGAGTTACCTTAAGGTAGTTGGTAAAAACCAAATAAATATATTACAGGGGGAAAATAACAACCTACTTGCATTTTCTATTGCTAGATGTAGAAACTCTAATTTTGGCATGCTGGTACTACTTTCAAATTCAAAATTCAACAGGAAAAAATTCAAACCATCTAAGATTTGTATCCTTTATTCTCTTTCATCAAAATCGTGGATGAATTAAAACTGCAAATTAGGCCAGAAAATTCAGAACACAATTTGATGTAGCTATGTTTATGCATATGCCCATGTTAATCTAATTTTTAACCCCTGAGAAGGTATATACATGAGAAAACACTGAAACACTGGGAAATTCTAGGAAATTTACCTCCAGCCTACACTCCAGCCCCCAGGCCCACTACAACAAGCTGTAAACAATCTCACACTATTCTCTTGTCCTCCTCATCCATCTGACAAACTCTCCCCATACATCAGGTTCTCATTAAAGTATCTTTTCCTCTGTGAACTCACAACCTTCCTCACCTGTAACTGCTTCCTCATCTGGGCTCCCTTAACAGTTTATACTTACCAGAAACATAGCATTTATCAGATTTTAACACAGTTAGTTGCTTATATGTCTGTTTCCCTTGCTCTTCTGTGGCCTCTTCTTGAGGGCAAAAGTCTTATTCATTGTTGAATCTCCAGTAGATAGCACAGAGCCAGACACCAAGTCGAACACAAAGAGCTAAGAGGAAGGCAAGAAGAGGCAGGCAGAAAGGGGGGAAGAAAGAAAAAAAGAAAGGGAGGGAGGAAGAGAGGAAGGAGCTGATCAGCCCCCTACAAGGGAAGAATCCAGATGTGGAAAATTCTGTAATCTGAATCCAATGGAGTCACAGAAGCAAGCCTAGTATTTGTAAGGAGAGTAGTTTCAGTTGGATGTTAAGATGATGACCTAGGGCCTAAACAGAAATAGCTTTCTTTTCTCTGTAACTCGAAGAGTTTTTATAGGAGCTTAACCAAAGCCGAGAATAAAAAGATAAACTAGGAAAGAGTTGAATCTAAGAAAAAATTCTTTCCTCTGTATGATTCTATATTTTTAAATGAGGAAACGCAAGATGTTACATTAAATTTTTACTTAAATAATTTGAGTATTTAGAAATAGCTCCACAAAGAAAGGAATTTTGTCATGCATTTTGAACACCAAATTAAGGGCACCTTGATTGCAAGGCTGCACAGGAAAGAAAGGGACCATAAGAGGTGGCAAGCATCATCCCTGGAAATGGATTTGGGATGCCCTGGAATATCAGCTGGGCAGAGGGTCTTCTAGTTGAGAGGGACCTGAGGTAAGTTGTAGCACAGGGATAAAAGTGCAGATGAGGCTGGGAGGGGCAAAAAAAATGGAAGAAAGATAAAAGACATAAGAAGCTGGCAATTCTCTAACAACTCTGCTGTCCTACCCAAGACCTCTCAGGGATAAACCTAGTAACCCAAGGATAAGATGGGAAGATCATGGAGGAGTAAAAAGATACTTGGCAGTTTTCACATTTGTGTTTTTAAAGAGCTACATTAAAATCATTACCAAAAAGGGTAAAAAGATACTTAAATGTGGCTTTATTGTCCATACTTTAATTATGAAAGCCTTGGTTCTCATTCCCCTGAAAAATGTACACAGATAAATCCCTGACTGACATAAAAAGATAATAAGTACGAGTGACATCAGTAGAAACAGTTGTACAAGACAGACAACACTTTTGACAGGAGCTTTGTCCACTTCTAAAGACTAAGGGCAAAAACCCTGCTGAGTTATCACTATTGGTTTTACTCATTTACGGAATCCAATTATCAAAGGGCAAGGAAACTGGGCAAGGGGATGGGCAACTGGTTCAATCTACAGTAACAGAATAAGATCAACAATGATTCTTCAAGAACACATAAAGACTCAAGGCTCATTGTATAAAATACACAAAGTCTTGTGCACATTACGTGCTTTTTCTAGAAAATAGCACGCCAAAGAGGCTAAGGCAAAAGCAAACTGAAGAAATGAGTTTCAAATGCTGAACAAGAGAGGGCAAGAGGACTCACTGCAGCAATGCCTTGGTCTTCCTGGTGGGGTCCTCTGGCTTGAAGTTTTTGTAGGCTTCCACTTCATGTTCTATGGAGAGCAACTGTCCCTGTAGCTTGTTCCTGAAGTTTGGCAGGGTATCTCGAATGTGGTTGGTAAGTTGCTAAATAAAACAAAACAAAATCATGTAGATGTAACAGATGAAAGATGAACTCAGGAGACAAAAATTGACCTTCCCTGTTTTCCTAATCATTTAAAACTTAGAAATCATATGTGTATATACATTTGAGACTAACTATGTAGGGAAATCATGAGAAGCAGTTCCAACTCTCTCCTGGCCTTAAGGAGATGCTCAAAATTCCTTCAACTAGAGTCACTCGCTTGGGCTACCTCTTTATGCCTGGCTGGAAATACCCTGTTAAAATGCACCTAATGTTACTCAGAAGGCTGCCTAATAACACTTTGGCATGAATTGATCTATCAGATTACCTAGACTGTAGAAAGGAGCCTTAAGTTGGACTGTGGCTAGAAATGAAGAAATTGGAGTTACAGGTACTGCCGGACGTTTCAGGACCACACTATGGAACTGTAGGTACCTGTCAGCTGTCCACTTCCTCTCCATTCTGCAGCTCAGACAGGGGCTTCCTCTTGCCCTGCCTCTAGGCGTCAGTCCAGCGGTGCTGGTTCACGTCATGGGTTTATTCCTTCAGCAGTTTGCATATGAAAGCTCCATGACTAGCAAAGGAAAACTCTCTCTCTGCTGTTGACACCTCTACTTAACCATCCACTTGGCAATTCCACTGAGATCATCTGCTGGCACCTCAAGCTCAGCAGGATGAAAAATTCTCTAAGAGACCGTCTACAAGTACATGATTAAGAACAAAGTTGGGGGCGCCTGGGTGGCGCAGTTGGTTAAGAGTCTGCCTTCGGCTCAGGTCATGATCCCAGAATCCTGGGATGAGCCCCGCATCGGGCTCCCTGCTCAGCGGGAAGCCTGCTTCTCCCTCTCCCACTCCCCCTGCTTGTGTTCCCTCTCTCACTATCTCTCTCTGTCAAATAAATAAAATCTTTAAAAAAAAGAACAAAGGTGGGATATAAACCCAGACTGGCTAGCTCTCTGCCTTATGTTCTTTCTATTACAATGCAGTTAAACAAAAGCCTGAATTAAAAGAAAAAAAAGAGAAGGAAAGAAAGAAAGGAAGGAAGGAAGGAAGCAAGGAAGGAAGCAAGGAAGGAAGGGAAAGAAAGAAAGAAAGAAAGAAAGAAAGAAAGAAAGAAAGAAAGAAAGAAAGAAAGAAAGAAAGAAAGAAAGAAAGAAAGAAAGAAAGAAAAAGAAAGGAAGGAAGGAAAGAAGAAAGAAAAGGTAATCTTGAACTGTAAACTTGAATCAAAAGAAAGAGAACATAAACTTCACAGATAATGCATGAAAAAGAATAATAGGGACGCCTGGGTGGCTCAGTCATTAAGCGTCTGCCTTCGGCTCAGGTCATGATCCCAGGGTCCTGGGATCGAGCCCCACATCGGGCTCTCCGCTCAGCGGGAAGCCTGCTTCTCCCTCTCCCACTCCCCCTGCTTGTGTTCCCTCTCTCGCTGTGCCTCTCTCTGTCAAATAAATAAATAAAATCTTAAAAAAAAAAAAAAAAAAGAAGAAATTAAAAGGGGAATAAATACCCAGACTGACTGAAGAAATCATTCTAAATCTTTAATGTTTATTGGAGGTTACCTGGATGTATCTATTCAATATATCTATAGTTATTTAAATGTTAATAGTTCATAACTATATTAGACCTTCGCCCACAGTTATGACTTATGTTATTCCCCAGCATGCTGTTGTTATGGCTCTGAAGCAGAAAACAAAAGAATGGAGAGGACTGCATTCCCAGTAGCAACATCACAAACCCCCAAGTCTAAGACCAACAGTAACCATGAGAAACCAGTAGTCACTTGTCTGCCATGTGAGGGGTAAATGATAAAAACACATGGTTTCCACCTTTTGCTTCTCAGATATCTCAACAGCAAAGCAACACTGCGGACCACTCTTGGCTTTCTAAAACAGTTCTTTCCTCAGCTTTCGTGACCCCAGTTCCTTCTCAGTTTTCTCCTAACCTTTTGGATGTACCTTCTACATCTCCTTTGCCAAATCATCCCCCTCCACCAGACCTGTAAATATCAGTATTCCTCGAATCTGAGTGTTAACCTTCTTCTTTGTTCACTCTCTGTTCCTCCTAAAGTAATCTTATTCCACTCATAGCTTTAATAAATATTCAAACGCCTGTAGCTACCACCATGTTATCTACAGACCAGACTTCTAATCTTTGCTGCAGGCATACATATTAGACCATGGACTTTACTTCTCTTCTTACATGTGCCAATGACACCGCAACCTCAGCAAGTCTGAAATCAAACACCAAATCCTCCTTTCAGGGTTCTCCATCTCGATGACTTCATAACAATATGGGAACTTGGAACGTATCCTTGACTTCACCTCTCCATCACCCACCAGAGCTAATCTACCACAAAGTTCTTGACTTTCCTAAACATTTCTCAATTCTGCTTTTTTTTTTTCATCTTCACTGGCCCTAACCAAGACCAAGCTACCATCATTTCTCACTTTGACTCCTAACTTCTCATGTCTATTCTTGATCTTTTTTTTTTTTAAGATTTTATTTATTTATTTGACAGAGAGAGACACAGCGAGAGAGGGAACACAAACAGGAGGAGTGGGAGAGGGAGAAGCAGGCTTCCTGCAGAGCAGGCAGCCCGATGCAGGGCTCGATCCCAGGACTCTGGGATTGTGACCTGAGCCTAAGGCAGACGCTTAACGACTGAGCCACCCAGGTGCCCCTCTATTCTTGATCTTATCTGCAATCACCATGATCATTTTTAATCCACAGATATGATTGTGTAATTCCCCTATTCAGATGCCTTAAATGACTCACTCCCCACTGCTCTTAGGATAAGAACAAAAATCCTTAACTTGCCTACAAACATTACAGGATCCAGCCTCTGCCTACTTCTCCAAATTCATCTCTTATAACTCACTCCCTCATTCCCTGCCCTCCAGCCATAATGACTCAAAACTGTCATGTTCTGTTCCAGTTTTCGCCATAGAAACTGTCCCTCGGGGCCAGAGGTATTGGTGCACATTGTATCAGCCATAAAAGTATCCTAGTTTCAAACAGTATGAAGATCCCTGAAGCAATAAAAAAGAAAGTGATTATCCAAGAAATGAGAGATCTTCAGTACAAAATCCATTCAGTTTTCAGTCAACCAGAATCCAATTATGTCATAATTTAGGGGTCATTTGTATAACCAAATGGCCAGTCACATTCTTTCTACTTTTCTAGTATTCACAACCTAATTTATTTCCAACTTTATCTTCCTAATCATCTTAGTGATTTTTCTCTAAGAATTTTTCAGTTTATTTGTGTTTTTCTTAGACCAATACAGGCATGAAAGCAGTAATCTAAAAAGGGTTTTACCAATACTAAATATATTGGTAGAATATTATGATTTTTGTGTGGCAAACCAATGTTTGTTAAATGACACAACCACAGCACCACCTCATGGCTTCTAAATACTCATCTACCCTAATTAAGAAGCACAAACTTTACATGAGTCTGTGTTATGTCACGTAAAATAGAAGTATACCACTGCTTTTTTATTTTCTAAAACTTCTTCAATTGTTTTGCCTAAAGGGTTCAGGTCCAATGTCACAAGTAGCCTGCTATTGTGTTAGTCTCTACTGATACCTTCTAGGAGCAAACAATCAGAACATTCGATAATGACTTGATTGGTTGACTGTTAAAGTTCATAAATAAAAGTTAAAGCATATCTTATGATTCTATTTGTGAGAAAAGCTGCTCGCCACTTTGAGTCAATATAATCAAAACTCAAGGAGTGGACCTGCATACACTGAGGATGATGCTTAACTTCCCTAGAAGATGAAAAATATGTTACCAAGTTAAGTGCACTGAGGTTTTATGCAAGAAGGAAGTAAGGGCATGGAATGTGGGAAGATGGAGGCCCAAGTCTATCTGTGCAGGGAAAGGGGTTATCTGGAAAAACTTCTTAAATGAATGGAGATCAATGATTGCTTATAAGGATTTGTTATTTTCAAGAATTTAAATTAAGGAACAAATAGATCCTAAACAAAACCATAAAGAAATTTTAAAAAGAAATCTCACCTAACCATAACAGATTGACATTTTAAAAACAGATCCCAAGAAATCAACCTTTCAGGGACATACAACCTTAATTTCTTAAGATAACTACATATTCTGAGTAAAATGGGTGCTAATATATACCCTTATCCACTGTTCCTAAATAAGCATATTTCTGCTCTGAGCAGTGTACTTTCAATAACATTAAAGTAGATTCTACTCACTGAGAATAGTAACAGTGTGCAACTAAGTATTCATGTTCATTTTTTAATTCCTATCATTTAAGATGAATGTCTTATTTTGGAAAAAATGAACATTAAAATGAGAAATATGAATTCCAATAGTCACTTATATATTTAGTAACTGTTCTTGTTGCTTGAGAAAACATCTTTACCTGATTAAGGACCTTCTGCAGGTGTGGGGTCCCCATCCGGTCAGCAATATGTCTATAAGCCGGGTGTGAGAGAAAAAATTTCCTTTCAGCCAACATGGCAGCCTTAATGTCCTTCTTCCCGTCTATATCCTTCTGGCTTCTGTTTACCACCCCCACATAACCTGAAACAGAACACATACAATGTGGTTTGGAACACTTGTTGTTTATTCTGGGGAGATTTCAAGGCTCTCAAACAGGCTGAATAAGAAAAGCAAAATTATTTTTAAGGGCTGAAGAATTGAACCTTTTATAAAATTCAATTTGAGACATCAGTATTTAACAAAGGCTGGCTGATGTGGCTAATGATACTTTTTTAGCATTAACACAATAATGTGTTTTGCCCTTAAAAGCTCTGTACATTTTAATACAGTGTCCCTTAGCAGCTGTGTTATATGGTGGGCAAGTTAGTCACACTTAAAACAGCACAGTATATGTATATGCAGTTTGTGATGAATATTTATATCCTCCCTTCAAACTCCTTCCTTTTCCTGCTTTCTTATTCCTGTTATTTTAAGGAATAGTTCTTCCTCTGGATCATTTTTAAATATATCATTTGGGAACGTTATGCCATTCCAGAAAAAGTATAACTAATCATAAATACATTCCTCACAACTGTGAAGGCATAAAACCAAGCTTCCCATTGGTTTCCCAATTGTTTCTCTGCCACATCATCAAAGGAAGTCCTGTATAGGACATGGTACGTTACCCCTGCGAAGAGGCAGCAGCTTATTCTCTAGAACCTCCCTGGCATCTGTTCCTTCATCCATAAGATCCAATTTGGTGATGACTCCAATGGTTCTTAAACCTGCATCGAAAACAAACGCAGTATTACATAGTTTACAGAAGACTAACAAATTTTAGAGACATATATGTCCCCATGCTAAATGCAGACACTCATATTTCTGGTCCTTTTCCTGTGCCTCTCTGTCTTAATTTGTTTTCTAATCCACTGCTACCCCAGTCTGGTGAGTTTTGATGTGATAAGAAGGAGAGTTGTAAAACCACCCATACATAAGGTAACTTTCACTTCAAGAGAGAAAAAAACAAATAGGTATATCACCACAATAATTTTAAATACATGCATTTATTTTGGTACCAGGCATACATGGAAATTACACACTTAAAATTTTCCTCCAAGGTACTGTACACAATACGGGTGCTTTAATTTTTTTATGTATTACCTTACTGAAAATAAATAAACAAGTAGGACCAATGAAGAGAGTGTGTCATAAACCAAAGCTTATTATTGATCCAGTTCTAAGCAGTTGACAAATAAGAAGAAGAAAATTAGGTATAGGATAGTGTCATCACCAAAAACAAAGTTTCAAGTCTCATAGCATTCACTGTTCATTAGAAAAAGATATATGACTTAATGGAAGAAGACCAAACTAAGAATTCTGACATTTGGATTCTAGTCTCAAGGCAAGTCACCTAACTCTCTTCTCTGGGTCTCAGTTTTCCTATCTGTAATATAAAGAGTTGGAAACGATAATCTCCAAGGTACCTTTCAGTAATAAAACAATATAAAAACCTAGACATTTTATGTAGCACATCAGATACCTCACCTTTGCCCATTGTTTTCTTCACTAGATAAAATGAATAACATTTGCCTAGTGATTCATATATTTTTTTAAAGATTTTATTTATTTGACAGAGAGAGACACAGCAAGAGAGGGAACACAAGCAGGGGGAGTGGGAGAGGGAGAAGCAGGTTTCCTGCAGAGCAGAGAGCCCCACGCAGCGCTCTATTCCAGGACCCTGGGGTCATGACCTGAGCCGAAGGCAGACACTTAACGACTGAGCCACCCAGGCGCCCCTCGTGATTCACATTTTTAAGTGCATTTCTTTGGACATGACAAATTGAACACACACCTTTATCTTTTTACCTGAAGCCACTCTAAAATGGCTAGTATTTATTAGGCCAGCTATGGTTTTATATTCTTTACATGTCTTAAATCATTTACTCTTAAAAAGGTTAAGTCGTTTAATCTTAAAAAAGACTACTTTTTTTTTTTAAGTGAGGAAACTAAGGCAGAAAGAGATTAAGTAACTTTCCCAAGGTCATACAACAGGTGGGTCTAGGCATCCAGAGCCCATGCTTTTAATCAATATACTGCTTATTGAAATACAAAGAATTTTAAAAATAAAAAAGGCTTAAACCAAGAAAGTAAAGAAAATGGGAGAGGACTGAAGAAAAATGTTGAAACTGTAAACCCAGCAGGATAACTGCTAACTAAATTAACAGACTAGAGAAAGAGAAAAACTGCATCCAAGAAAGCCAACAACCAAAGCCCAGAAGCTGGATAATTTACATCACAGCCTCTCAGAAAGGTTGAGGGAGACCAATAGCTCTGACAATAATGGACGGTAATGGGGGCAGTTGAGGCTGAAAACAAGAGCACTGGATGAAAGCAGGGAGATTTCCATGGATAACATAGCTAGGAGTCACCCTGGCTCAACCTTGCAGGAGAGTGCAAGGTCTACTCTCTGGAAACACTGAACTGTGGAAAACTGCACTAATGGGCACCTGGCCCAGTTAGAGGGCATCAGGTATTAAAAGAGAGTGATTAAGTGAAATTCCACTTACTGAATAGCAAGACCTCTCTGCCCAGTCCAGTTTAAGAAAAAGCTGGCTGGTAGAATTTAACCCTCCAAGCAGGAGATTGGAAAAACTGTCTGGGGATATTAACCATTCTTAGAGGGAAACATAGATATTAAAATTCAGAGGAACTCCAATTAAAACAGCCCAATAAATCAACCTACTGTGAAGCCTATAACTCATTTAGTCAAGCACACCCAAATAGAGTTTCCTGTTATATTATATATTATATTATATTATATATTATATAATATTATAATATATATTATATTATATATTATAATATATTATAATATATATTATATTATAATATAATATTATATTATATTTATATTATATAAATATAATTTATAATTATAAATATATAATTTATATATTAAATTATAAGTTAATATGATTTAATTATATTAAATTAAAAATAATTTAATATAATTAAATTATTTATTTAATTAAATGTGAAATCACTTTTAAATATAAATCAATAAGTGTAGATTACCAATTGTCATCATACAAAATTATTACAATATTAATATAATATAAATAAAATACTATTGACTATATCCCCCATAAGTGACTTATTTATTTTAGTATTCTGTGATGTATATAATTGTAGAACCACTATGTTGTATACCTGAAGTTAATACAATACTGTATGTCAACTATGCTTCAATAAAAAATATAAATTTTTAAAAATTATTTTAAATGTGAATGGATAGCCAAGGAGAGTCTCTGAGACCAAAACAAATAAATATTGTAAAACAGAACTGAAGAAAACAAAGATAATACAAAATATAGAAGAAAACTGTATCATTTTTATTAATATCCTGAGAGAAAAGAGGTCATTGCATCCATGGAACAAGAACAGAATGTCATAAAAGGAAACATTCAAACAAACAAAAGGAATTCTTGGTAACAAAATATGAGAGTAGTAATTTAAAAAAAAATGTTAGTAGAATGGGTGGAGTACAAAGTTAGAAACTCTTCCAGAAAACAAAAGAAATAGAAGTAAATAATAGAAAAGGAAAAACTTGTTTGAAACTAGAGAAATAGGGGCACCTGAGTAGCTCAGTTGGTTAAGCATTCGACTTTGGTTTTAGCTCTGGTCATGACCTCAGGGTCATGAGATCGAGCCCTGTGTCAGGCTCTGTGCCCAGTGCAGAGTCTACTTGAGATTCTGTTTCTCCCTGTCCCTCTTCCCCTCCCCTGTTCTCTATCTCATTCTCTTTCTCTCTCTCAAATAAATAAATAAATCTAAAAAAAAAACAAAAAACAAAAAACAGAGAAATAATGTAGAAGATCCAATATCTGAATAATTGGCATTCCAGAAAAACAGAGAAGATGAAACAGAAATAGTTGGGGGGGCATACTATTCAAGAAAATATTCTGTAAGTGAAAGATTAATTTATGTATTGAATAAATCCATCAAGTGTCCAACATAATATGAAAAACACACACATAATATGGCATAGCAGTATAAGATTTCGAAACACTAGGAACAAATAAAATATCCTAATAAGCTCCCAAAGAAGTTAAGAAAAGAAAGTGACAAAAAAAGTTTTGGATATCATTATAGCATCAGTCTTCCCAGCAAGAAACTAGAAACTAAAATTCAATAGAGTGCTGTTTTCAAAATTCTGAGGGAAAAAATTATTTCTAGCCTAGAATTCTGAAATATCGATAAATGTGACAGTAGAAAAAAATATTTTCAGACTTGCAAAAATCTCAAAGTATTTTACCTCCCTTTCTCTTTCTTTGGAAACTACTAAAGGATGTGTTCCACCAAACATGGAAAGCAAACTAACAAAGAAGTAAATAAGAGATCCAGGAAGCAAGAAATGTAATATAACCAAAAAAGAAAGGGAATTTTCAGGATGGTGTAGATCTCAGTACTAGGCCAGAAGAACAATCAATATCTATTTGAATGAGAAGGCACAGATTATTGAAGAGATATATTTCCCCACTAAGAAAAAAAAAAATGGAAGTGCTAGAACACCTAATGCCTAAGATTTTTTAAGGTATTAAGAGATTTAGACTCCTAGAGGAGAGGCTGAGAATGCACTGGTAATGAATATTTAGAAGACTGCAAACAAAAAGAAAGACAACTATCAACCTCAAAGACAGCAATATCATGTAAGAAGGAAAAAGTAATCATAATTTACACAGGGCTCAGCTGCGAATGATATTTTCAGAATCATAAATATTTAAATATAATTATATTAGTAGAACATGGGAGGGTAAGTGTATATATGTATGGTTAGTATATGTGGGTATGCGAGAGAGATAGAAGACAGCTAAATTCTTCTCTACAGTAGGAAGTCAAAAGTGAAAATCAAAAATAAAAAATCAAGAAAAAGTAGTATGAACAGGTTACACAGAAATATGGAGGTAAATACCAAAAGAAAGCCGAAAGTGATAGTCTCTGGAAATCAGTAATCAAGAGTCAGGAGGAGTGGGCAAGGGACCAATAGTTTTTGTTAAAAGCCTTTGGGACTGATTTTTAAGCTATGTATGTTTATAACATTAATAAAATAAAAGTTAAATTTTAAAAGTATTCTCTCTTTTTTTTAAATAATCCATTTTTTATTTGATAGGTAAGAATGGACAGTAGATGTAAATAAAAAAAAAAAAACATTGAAACAGATATTTGATTCTACATTGGCAAAGTAATGTAAGGATATGTGTGAATATCTGATCTGTGTAAAAGTTTTCCATGTCCAATCAACACATCCAGATAGTTTAGACATAACTGACATTTCATTCCCTTTAAAATGATAAGAACACACAACTCAACTATGTCAGATTGAAAGCTCTGTCTTTGTTGGATAGGCTGGCCTTGTACAATGACCAAATCAAATGAACATTGGTTTTAATATTTGTCTCCAAAAGGCAAGCATGGTTAATACATAATTAAAAGTATTCTCTTTACTACTCCTTTATTTCTGCAAAGGCAAAGAAATCTATGCTTAGTGGTATACCAGAAATGGCAAAGGAGATTATTTTCTTTTCACATTTAGTTATACAAATAGGCAGCTTAAAATAATCAATGAACTCCTGCTGGCATACTGGAGACCTACACTGACAAATCTCAAAAAGCCATTGCCGGAAGAGATTCAAAGGCAACATGCTTTAAAAGCACTTCACTGGTAATCTAAAGACTCAGATAAATATAATAGAGACCCATGTACTGAGTCCTGATTATGTACTGG